TATTTTGATCATATGATATTCGGAGAGTCAATAGTTCGTTCCGAAACGAAATCAACGTGTTACTGCTTAAAAGTTCTAAGACAAATCTGTGCTCAAAGTATCCATGATTGGGATTTTGGTAAGACTTATTACAAGGACACCAATAGCGATGCGCGATTTATAAGGGTCGAGGTGTTTGGGCTGTTGACGATAAAAATAAGATTCTCGTATCACCGTTCCCTTTCAAGCCCTACCCAAATGAGGTTCCATAAAAGGTAATATTTCAACTTATCTCATTATCAAATTTTCCGGATTTTTGATCAAGTGATCAGAATTCACCTCCTTTCAAATTATGAATTCTATGAGAGAACATGCTGTGTTAAAGAAAAAAAAAAAGAATTCTCCTGCCTTACGAATATGAATATTCAAGGAAGATGTCCACAAACTTTATCGAATCTGAAAGTTGTGAACAAATAAATGATTTTGCAAAAAACATCAATTTTAAGATTAAGGTTTAAGGCAATTACACATTTATTCGAAAATTAAAGCGAGTTGTTTAATAGATTCGGGTCAATGATAAACGATCGCGATCGCTTTCTTTGCTGATAAACGAAAGATGAACATTTGGTGTAACCTCATATGTTTATGCTAAATGTAACTTTACCTGATATTCAAGTAGCCTGACGGGACTTTCTTCATTCGCTTTAAGGAAGTCAGCCTCCCAGAGCTTCTAAAGGATGAGTTCAATCAAAAATTTGTTTTATTATGAGGCACCAGATTTCCGAGATCTCGGAATTCCTCCTGGTCATCGAAAATTCCCGAGGGATGAAATGTAATTCTTAAATACTGAGATACTGTATATGGGTCAGAATTTTCTTTTCCTCGCGATGGGTTAATCATCCGATGAAAGACAAAATTGGAAACACATCGAGCACACGGAATTTGGTACAGATCGACCTTTTGTATATCTGTTGGAAGCCGATAGTAGTAATCACCATTCGGGTATTTCCTTTATGTAAGAATTCTCAATAAGTACACAAATTCCAGCCTATCTCTCGCATGATGTCTGATTGTGCGCATGCTTTGCTCGAAATCTCACAAATAAACTGAGATATTCTAGCTTGATAGATTTCTTTCTCCGTAAAATTCTTCAAGAACGGGAATGTAAAACCTGCGAATTTCCGATTGGTGTCGCAATATTTATTCTGAATCATTCATTACCTTCACAGGAACAACGATTGATAAAAGGCCAGTTGTTCGTAACTTGATTTCGACGAGAAGACTTTGAATTCACAAGTTCACGATTATACTGTCGAGTGGAAAAGCTAATCAATCGAATGTGGAATCTCCAAAGAATCCGAAGTAGAGATCGTTTGACAAACTGGAAATCGGTTTTGGGATTTGTTTTTGGTGTAATTTTATTAGGCACCTATAACCGTTTGCACGACGTAATAAATTATGATCTACAAACAACCCTTAGAATTTGATTAAACACAATTGCCATATCGCATTAATTAGACAGGAAAAGTTATATTGTCAATTTCGACCTTTACCACGGAATATATTAAATGGAAAGTTGATTGATTTGTGTCTACGTATTTATGTTTCTTGTGGGTTACGTGATAATTTCTTGGTGCGTTGACCAACGGATCACTGTATGTATGTAAACAAAAAAAAGTAAAGAAATTTTTTAGTTTTTTTTTTTTTTTCTTTTTTTTTAATTATTACGTTCTGTACAGTCTATATATATATATATATATATATGTATGTATGTAAAAAGAAAACTGTGTACAATC